TATATATTAGAGGTCATTAGGCAGAGATCAGAACATACCAATCTTACGCCTCCTCTCTGCCTCTCTAGTCTCGTGAGTCATTCTCACCTTAGCCATCATAATAATACACCCTAAACGGGAACTCGATCTGCGTGAGAATCATGGCCTCATCCCTAACCACGTTTACAGGATTATCAGGTACACATGATTAAATCCCTAATTTATATTTTATGTTTAAGAATTGATCAACAATATTACCTTATATAATTAGTTATTAATGTGGAGGATTCTAGAATATATTCCTCTACCTATAAATACATACTTTGTATTCCTCTTCTATTTATTCAAGAAATAAAGCATTATTTGTTATTTTACAAAAAATTTCCTCTCAAATAATTCTTACATTTCCTTTTTATTTAGTTTAAATGAAAATTAGAATTACGATTTATTACAAATTTTTTTTAAATCCTAGGGTATATTGCATTGGTGAAAGTGACTTTTGTAATATAAAATGGAAGTGTTTCGGTGGGAGTGAAAAAAATTTAAAGAGGAAGCACTCTGGTGAACAAAGAGAAAGAATACAAATTGAGAGCAATGATTAATAGATTTCGTCTAGTTAATTGGGTACAAAAAAATCAAACTAGACTACCCGAAAGAGATTAGCTTTAAGAACGTGAGGGGAAAAGGAAATGAGATAGTGATGAAGGTAATTAAATGAAATGAAATACTCGTAAAGTAACTTTTTTTTTTCCCTTCTCATCAATAGTTGTCACTGATCACTTTTTAGACATTCTTGTACGTGATCAATACGGAGTTTCAGTGATCGCCGAAGCCCCTGCCGTATAAATAGAGGATTATAATTGAAATTGGTGTCAAATAGATACCCCGATCCTCACTAAAGCAAGGTTAATGCAACAGTGATATATACATATATACGGGTACGTTCGATCGTCAAGACCTAGGATATATATAGCCTAATGAACGACCCGGATGGCCCGTGGGACGACATTGATGAAAATGGGAACGTACCTGTCTGGCTAGGGGTCGAAGGCGAGAGCGAAGAAGAAGAAGAAGAAGAAGAAGAAGAAGAAGAAGAAGAAGAAGAAGGATCAACCATTACCAGATTACACGACCCAAATTCGGTTGAGCGCATCATTGAGGACGATATGGAGGAGGATACCGACAGCGATGCTAGCTGGCGGGGTAACTACTTAGAGCCGAGATACGACATGCTCCGGTTATAGCGGCGAAATTATGAGCTCATTGTGGTGGTGATAAGGACATTTTCGTTTGTTACTTCTTCTGTTGTCTCAAATTAACACTCTTTATTTCCTTTCTTTGAGTGGTTGCATATTATTATTTTTTTCTTTCCGTTTTTGTTAAGCTTTTTCTGGTTCACACTTTTTTTGTCTCCTCTGCATCACTTTCAACCATATAATTTTACTTCTCTTAAACTCCGTTACAAGTCAAACGAAAAATATAAATCGGGACGGAGGAAATACTTTTTTGACACCTAGTTTAATTTAAATTAATTTAAATTAAATATATAAAATACAATTAAATAACCGAAAAAATTTAAAATAATAACTAAGAAAAGAAAATAAAAAGCATAAAATAGGGAAAAAAATAAAAAAATGAAAAACTGAAATCTTGAAAAAATTAAAGATTGAAGAATCAATATTCTCATTAATGATAATATAGTTGTCCAATAATATTCATACTTGGTGATGATTATGTCCGATTTCTTTTTAGGATTAAATATATTTTTAGTTCCTATAGAAAAAGGAGTTTGGATTTGTGTTCTTGTAAAATATAATATTGTATAGGAAAAAAAATTAAAGTAGAAGTAAAATGTATTTACTTCTTTTTCCGATTGTAGTGATTTCTTTTTATCCTTGGTGATGATTATGTCCGATTTCTTTTCCCTTCCTTCTTTTTCCCTTATTAAACATTAAGGATAAACTTATCTATTTGACAGAAAAAAGAAGTTAAATAGCCAAATGGAGATGCATTTAGCAATAAACTAGTAAAATGTAAAATGTTGCAGTAGAAATGGTTAACGTTAACTGGGTGTTGGCTTTGAAATATCTCAAACTCCATATATAGGCCAGGTCAAGGGTGTTAGTGTTAAATATATTAAGTATATATTTAGTATCTTTTGTATATAATAGTTTTTATACATGTACAGTCCTTATTAATTAAGGATTCCTAACATAATAGGTTTCCTAACATAACTAGGAAATCTCTACTATATATAATCTCTTGTATTCACATTTTATCATTATTGGAATATATCAATTCTTCATGGTATTAGAGCCTTAATTTTCTCACGGTTCCCTCTCCCTGTTTCGGCTCTCTCCTCTCTTGGCCAACTCTCTCTCTCGCCGAATCTGTAACGCCCCGAAATTAGGCATAAAAGAATTAATTAATTTTAATATTAATTAATAACTGAGACACACCCGAACACTGAAAAATAAAAGTTTTCAGAAAAATATTTTAATTATATCAAAATTTTAGTTTTGACAGTCTGATTCCAAAAACGCGATCCATTTTCAAAACGGAACAGTTTGGGCGAAAAAGCGCGTACTGTTTTAACCAGTTTATTAGTTACGGAGTAGAAGAATATTTTTAATTCTCCAAAGTCTTCAATCACGCAGCCCCAATCTCCTCAAATCCTCAATCAAGCTACCCTACACCCACTAATTCATCCACTAGCATAATACCTCCAAAGGTGGAGTGTATTAAATATTAACTCCTTCTCCACTTTGTCAACTCCACACTCTCAATCCCTCTTCACACTCTCTCTCTGTCGGTCAGTCACAAAGGAGGAGGAGAAAGGATTCCATCTCCATTGTTGAGCCAAGAAGAAGAAGAAGGAGCAAGGAGAAACATCAAAGTTTCTAAAATCCTGAGTGAAAAACGCAGCAGCAACTTCTTCGTAAATTCTGTAATTCTCTATTCATTTTATCGAATGATTTATTATACCAAAATCGTAGCCCCGGATGTTACGAATCCAACCCAACAAACGGTTCGTGATTCCGTTAAGTAACGAAGGAGATATCGCCAAAATACCGGGACTGCGTCAGTGGTGACGAGTTCCACGGGTTGGCTATGTTTTCTTCATCATATCCATATCTTTCATTCAAAGTGCTTACCATAAAACTCATATTTTCTTTTCCAATCATTCTCTCTTGTTGGAAGATTCATTCAAGCAAAGAAAAGAGGAAGAACTTCAACTCCATTGGTGAAACAAGAAGAAGAAATCATCATAGTTTCTTCAAAATCCTGGCAGGAGCAAACCGTCACCTTGTGAGCCATTTTCATATATCTTAACGTCATTATTTCAGTCTGATTTCTGAACAAAAGTTGTAGCCTCGTGTCTCGCGAATCCAACGCATCAAACGGTTTGCGATTTCGTTGCGAAACGAAGGAGATATGGTCAAAATACCGAGACTGCGTCGGTGGCGACGGGCCTCTC